CACTCGTCCTTGACTGTCACTCTGCAAACTTCTGCTATTGACTTATGAAATATTATACACACCCTCAACAGTTTTACAGTGTTTCTTACTCTGTTTTTCTAGGCATAATTGATCTATAATTGACTACCTGCTCAGACCTGTAGCATAAGCAATAACACTCAGTTAAGTAAAAACCTAAGCTTAACAGCCTCATCATATGCATGCCTATTCAAAAGGAAGTCCAACTGAGTTCAATAGAGCTCATATGATCATACGTTCATACGTTCCATTGATTCATCAGGCCTACTTTAGTTGTGACTTCCTACTGGATTTCAGCCATAGGATATTAATACGGTTGTTTTTAATACTAGTAGTACCCAACTACATGCTAGTGTTACACATTTCTTTGCTCTTTTTTTTTAACACCGTGCAATCCTTTGTTCTTTTTCTTTCTTGCTAGTCTTTCTTTCTCTCATTCAGCCTACTGGAACTGGAAAAGTCAAGGAGGAGGCGCCAAGCAAAGCTGCTGGGCTACATTCAGCTCAGTAGGGTCAGGAATCAAAGCGCAAAACTAATGCACATCATTATTTGTTGTGACAATCCACTATTTAATATAATAAATAATGTACTACATTAAATAACTTACACTATACTTAGTAGTATACTTTGACGTTTTAGAGTTTTATAACTTTAAGCTTCTAAAGGGTTATTACATTAATATGTTTATTTCCAACTATTTGTAAAACAAATTGTAAAATACTAAATCTCTCAATTTACTGGTGGATTCAAGGACCTTTTCTGGACAAACAACCCTAGCTATTATAAATAAAATATTAGAAGACCAAGTTTCAGAAGGTAAAGGAGCTAAGGGAACAGGGAAGGGGGAAATGCCAAAAAATTGACATTGTGGAACCTGTTGCCAATGTTCTGGGTTACCAATACAGTAGAACATCCAAAGCTTTCAAAACAGTTTTTTTCAAAGGCACTTTAGTTTAGATTTTCTCTCCATATAGTCCGCTACCATGCAAGTGGAAGCAAAATGAAATTGTGCCACCAGCAGCTAAGCAAGTCAAAGTGTTTGCTCATGCATCTAATTTCTATTCCCATAGAAAAACAGTCATATTGGAAAAAAATAAGAACAGAACCTAATACTTTCCAGTCTAGGACTATTTTTACAATATTACTGGTGGACAGAGGGCACTGACAGCAGAAGGAAGCAATGAGTAAGTCTGTGACTGTGCCTTAGTGGAAGCTGCTGCAAGTAGAAATCTTGCAGCTACAAAGTTTTAGGAGCCACTTTCAAGTTTTACCATTTCATAGCTGCAAAGTTCACCTGGAGACTGTGCTGTGCTTGCCAGCAAGTTTAAGGTACAATGAGTTTAGCAAAGATATCCTATGACAGATGCCAGAAGCGAGCGGATGTCGTTATCTCAAACCTACTGCTGGTATTAAATAAAAGCAGACTCAGCCAAAGGTAGTACATATGTCTACCCACCCATACCCAGCCACTTTTTCTTCTGAAAAACAAGAATCACATAAGACAACCAACACTACACACATCAAACATTCTATGCCAATCAACCACAGCTAATTGGTAGAGTGTATGCCTGGCATATAGAAAATCCTAAATTCAGTCCAGGACTGTTATTCAAAGTGACTCAGACGGCAGGGCTGGGGGGGACCCTATCTTAGACCCCCAAAATCTGTACCCAAGAGGCTCAAGATCTACATGGACCGGTGGTATGACTCTTTTTAGTAGGTTTCATAAGTTCACTGCAGTCATTTAAACAAGGCCTTTCCCATTTCTTTGGGGAAAGCTGTTGTTAACATCTATTTCCTTTACCACATATACTGTACTGTTCATCCAGTTACAGCCATTGCTAGACATACAAGCATATTGGCATCAAAAGACTTCCAAAATAGCTGTTTAAGGCTCTTCCATTCCCACCTCAGAGCTGCTGCTACCACTTCAAGACATCACTATTTATTCTTCACTAGTTGTCTCCTTGAGAAGGTACAAAAAGGAAGCCAAGGTGTATGCATACAATAGTGGATGAGCACTTTCCTTGAAACCTAGTATCTTCCTTGACATCAACAGATGAGAGAGTTAACTTCAGAAAGCAGAAGAAGCAAACGGCATCTCCTTCATGTGAGTGACAGCAGCATTACTGCTGCTGAAACAAAACACTCTGCACTCACAGAGTTACTGCTTTTCCCTATCCTTTCCAGCCCTTGAGTCTTCTTATCCTAGAGGAAAGAGAATGAACCATAGCAAACCAATTAAAAGATAGAATTGTTTCCAGAATTCAGTCTTTTATTCATCTTTGTAGCAATAGTCACAAGCCTCCGGAGTAAAAACAAATTACATAATTTTCTCTTGGAAAGGGAACCACAGTTTCCCTTTTGTATAGCTGAAGGCCAAAACATGTTCTTCCATTGTCATGGAAAAGTTATCACAACAAGCTCAAGCCAGAATGATTTCTTTTCTGAATGATACCCCTATATTAATTTTTCAAATTAAAATAATGATATATACACTCTACCCAGCACACAAAATAATTTGCAGAAAGAACTTTGGAATTAAGTCATCAAGGATCATTAAAGCTTTGCCCAGGAAAGTACTGACACTATCTTGCATATTTCAATGAACTGGCATATTTGCCCGCCTTAAATGGCATTTTATTACTACATATTTAACCTTCTACAGTAAAATATAAAAAAGAACAAACAATATTGCATTCTGTTTGAACAAATGACATAGTGATCAGTTATGGACCTTTCAAGTTACAAGGTATTTCATAACCTTTCTCATTTCCTTTGACAGATCAAATGATCTCAGGAGAAGAGGAACCCATGTTAAATACTATCTTTCTGGCACATACTATAACATACAGAATACCCCTTTCAATTGACTAATCAAGGATCTTTAAAGCTTTCTCCAGGAAAGTATGGTGGTGTCCTGTATATTTGAATAAACTAGCATATTTCACTTTTGCCTTTGCCTAACTGGCAATCTAGTTGAGGCAGAAAGTTTAGGAGGCTCTCACAGCGTGGCTGCCTGTCTCCCTGAGACACAGAATTTATATTTCCAACCAGAAACAAAGATATAATATTGTACATTGAAGGTAAACAAGCTATAATCTAATATTTCAAATTAATTACTATAAAAAAGAATACAGAATATATGCTTTTATTCTGCTTATTGTTTCTGCTTTTAAAAAAGTGAACACTAAGATCTTTTGCAAGCTGTAGCATCATCATTTCAGTTACCAGGCAACTGTGCATTTTTAAAAAATTCAACTCAAGCATAAGAGAGTCAGTCACTAGAATCACAGATTCCAAGGAGACAACAGAAGAGAAGCAACTGAACGCTGCTATCCAAAAAAGACACAAAGGTTGAAGTTGTAAGCAAGAAGTTGGAGCAGGGAACCTACATAAAATCAGCAAAAAGTCTTCTAGCATCTTAAAAATCAATAAGCTTATAGAATAAACCTCCACAGACTAGAGTTCATCAGATGCATTAAATGTCAACACAAATCGGTAGGTAAACAATATGCATGCATATATAAAATGTAGCAAAACATATAGGAGAAAAACATTGATCATGATTCTGACAACAATAATGGAAATTTGAGCAAATGATTTTTTTTTTATTTCTCACTTACATTAGTGACATTTTAAAGTGCTTAATTTTAGATGTCCCCGTTCATGTAAGAGTCTATGGGAATCCTACTTTATTTATAAACTTTAACTACAAACAGAACATTACTGGAACCAAAAACCTCATCTACTATTCCTCTGCTGAAGAGCAAATTTTAGTCACATTATTTCAAATATGCATACATTTGCAGAAGAATACTAACACACAGCTTTGGAATGAGGGCAGGGGAGGCTTTAATAGTAACAAATTGCTGCTGCATCACCAGCAGCAATCTAGCAATTATTTTTGAATATTAAAGGGTTCCCCTTCCTCAGTCCCAAGGCTCTCCCAGAGCAAAAAGGAGACCTAGGGAGTCATTAAAGCTGATTGGAAGCTTTCAATTAGTTTAAATTAATTCTTTCTGGCACCAGATCCAATTTCTGCCAGGATGATGTTTTGCTCACTGTGTTAAAACAAGATATTAAACATAACAAGAACAAATTCAGAGGGTACAAACAGGGGAAGAGCACTCAAAATAAATTAAGAGAAACCCTAATGTTAAAGGGAGCACCTCAATTATTTGCACAAACCACACATCTCAATTAATTGCAACCTCAACTTAATAAAGTTTTTTATACTTAAAAGCAATATTTTTTAAGCCTTGAGAAACCAAACATCTTCCTTCTGTACAAATAAAGGCTAGATAATAAATTGAACTTGCCTTTAGTCCTCTGTGATCAAAGCCCTAATGGAAAATGAAGCGCCAAGTGCTTTGGCACTAAATCATCTCATGCGAAACTCTGGCTCAGTGACTGCACCTGTTTGTGGGGTCAATTTCTCCACTCCATTGTGCATTCATATGCAATATACACAGGGAATATCACACACATAGGTCAATTGGAAAGCTGATGCAAAAACCATCCCACTGATGAGTCCTTATACAGACAGAAGCTAAAGTCAATGGAGGGAAAGGAATAGTAGCAGAAACAGCATTTTCCCATTCAAATAATTTTCATTATAATTTTTAAAAATCAGTTCACCGTAGCAATAAAGCCAATAAATCCACATGATGCTTGAAAGTTCACTCAATAGTTGGAACACAAACGGCAATCATGTTCATGATAATATGCATCTAAAATCAAGGACCCACCCCAATTTATTTCATGATTTCCCTATTAATTAATTTAAGTAGCAAAAATATAAAGACAACAGTAAATTTAGCCTCTCTATATATAGCACATGGAAAGATCCAACAAATAATCCGAGACTGGGTTTGTTCCAAGCTATTCCAATGGGAACAGACCTGAAAAATATGAGAATGGCTTGGCTACAGGTTACTACAGAGACACTCTGGAATGGCCTGCAATACAAGGATACTTACTTGAATCCTCCCATCGGAGAAGATGCAGTTTCCAAGCCGAGTAATATAGAAATCCCAACACCAGAAAAAGACAGAGGGCTAGCAGCACATTACGAATAAACACCAACAGTCCCATCTTCATATGGGACTAGATCTTCTATAACACCTGGGGGAAAGAAAACATTTGAGCCTTGAATTTTCTGGTTAGTTTAGTCAATCTGTAGTCTAATTATGCATACATAAAATATCAGGTATACATATGTTCATTTTTGCAGTTTGCAGATTATCCAGGCACTTTTATCAACAATACTTAACATCCCAAATCACCATCACTTACAAGGAGAAAGATGACACACTTACAAATAACTGTCAGTTAAAACAACAACAACGAATGCTATTTCTAAATGCTATTAGAGTGCTGAATTCTAAGAAAGCAGCTCATTGCTGGACCAGCTACTATTCCAGAACACTTGGCCTTGGTTTAAAACATTTCCTAAAGTGCTGAAAAAGGTACAGTAGTGCCTCAACTTACGAACGTCCCAACTTATGACCATTTCGAGTTACGACCGGCTCTGGCTGCAAAATTTTGCTTCGACTTGTGGCCGGAGCTTCCAGTTACAACCAAAAAAAGGCAAGGAAAAAAGGCGGGGAATTCAAATTGCTATCCATTGGTAGGCGAAGAGGCTGCTTCTTTGTAGCTCTTTCGCCCCAATGGTTAGAGTGAGTGCGATCGGAGGAGGCTTCGGACTGCCTGGTACGGTAAGGTGCTGCTTTCTGCTTTTTAAAAACTGTTCTGGGTGGGTTTCGCAGTGGGGTTTTGGGCTGGATGGTGGGATTATGCTTTTATGCTGTGATTGGGCTGGATGTGTTTGTTTGTTTGTTTGTTTGTTTGTTTGGGTCTTGCATGCTTTGCTTGCTTTTTGCTTTTTTGCATTATACAGTAATGGGTTTTGCACACTTTGCTTGCTTTTTGCTTTGTGTTTTTTTATTTCCGATGGGTCTTGCACGCTTTGCTTGCTTTTTGCTTTGTGTATAGTGAATCTTCCTTTCATAGACAATGGGTCTTGTGTGTTTTGCTTGCTTTTTGCTTTGCTTCATTTACATTTCCGATGGGTCTTACATGCTTTGCTTACTTTCCTTCCCCCCCTCCTTCGGCATAATGGATTAATCGCGTTTAAGATGGGTCTTGCAATGGTTTGTGTGTGTTTTTTGGTGATTTTTTTTCTTCGGCTGGAATGGATTAATTACATTTCAATGCATTCCTATGGCAAATGGTGCTTCAACTTGCGACCATTTTGACTTACGACTGGATTTCTGGAACCAATTAAGTTCGTAAGTCGAGGCACCACTGTAACTTCATTTTAAGAAATATTCCATGGATAAATGCCAATAAAAGCATAACTGTACATAAACACAGAACATCTTAAATAATTTGAATTTCATTGCTAGAATTTGAACACCCTTAATCATTTCAACTTCAATGTGATTGCTGCAACTTGTACAAGTCTCATGGACTGTGTATATAATCTTTCCATTTATGTGCCATGTTCAGTTGTCTGAGGAAAATTCTACTGCCACTGGCAGAAGCTTTTCCACGAGGCTGCTTTTCTTTTCCTCTCTTATCAGCTCATGAAAAACTCTTGAGCAGCAAAAAACAAAATATTTAAATAGCACAATGCTGTTCAGTTCTCTTGGAGGACTGGATACTAGCAACAAAGTTATCAATTTGAACAGAGAAATCAAAATTTTATCTTCTAATAGTGTCAGGACAAGGCCTTCAAAGAATGGTGTTTCCAATAAATCAAATAAAGGTTTAATAAAACTCTCTCACACAGTTGCAGAAAAAGACCAAGAACATAGAATACAATATGTGAAAAAATATCCAACCTAGTGGTATCACATGGGTATACTTTCTTAGAATAAGGTTGTCCTAATAATCTTCCTTGTATCTCCCTTGAAGGGATAATGTTCAATCTCACACATAAAAGGTCCAGATTCTTTGATACCCCAGTTATCCATACAGCAAGACCACATAAAATCACCAAAATTACTTTTGCATTAAATTATAATAAAGGTCCTGGAACATAACTACCTCTTTTTATATTAAAGAATGTAACTATTGATTGTGTTAGCACTTTTGCTTCACACAAAATACTATCTTATTGATATTGCCAGGGTCAATGTAGAGAAAAGATCACTTCTAAGTAGGGAAATGCTTCACGTGTTCAAACTCCCTACCACCTAATAGCCAGCTAGATTTACATAATTGATTGTTCTTATAAAAAACTAAAATCTTCTATTTCCAATAGTTTATCTCTATGTTATTTAGTTTACAATACAGTACTTAGAAAATGCCTTTAAGGACAATTTGATACAAATTCTGGACCAGGACAAAAGTGCTGCATTGTCTATGAAAGGAAGATTCACTATACTACAGTTGGCTAAATTTGGTGAATGACAGGATCAATCAAAGTAGAGAGCAAAATCATTAAGAAAGAAATTAAATAACACAGGAGAAGGTAAACACCATTGTCTTACTCCTTGGTTTTAGCTGAATGATCTTGTCGTCTCTCCCCTTACACTACAGTGCACTTCGCCTTTGAATCAGCCCTAACAAGTGTTTTTCAACTGTAGAGTTCTCTAATTTCTGCCATAGTTTATCATGGTTAATTAAACCCAAGGCCCCTTTCAGGTCCATAAAGACCACAAAAAGGCATCGACCTGGAATAGCCATATTCTTTTCTGCTAAATGTTTAGACCACCTTTCAGTGAGAATCTGTCTTTTTCAACCACTAGCTCTAACTACAGAACCAATTTGACCTTAACCAATCTTAACCTAATGTGATATCTTAATTTTCTTTTCTTGTTTTGCTGTTGGGAAAACTGCTTGGTCCATGTTTTTCTGCTGTAAGCCTACAAAGAGGTCTATGTGCCCTGGACAGATCTACAGGAGTTGAAGTCAGGCTTTTTGTCTGCAGAGAGAGGAGAGATTGCAAACTGATAAATTTTACACCTCTGTTTCACATGGAATCCAAATGAAATTTGAAACTGGCAGACTAGTTTCAAAAGCAACAGGCATCACATCTGGCCAGAATGTTTGACTATTTGCCTTAACTGCAAATTTTATACCATCTTATACTGATGAAGAGTCCTGGAGAACTTGAATATTTCTCTTATTTGTTAAATTTTAGTGATCCAATAAACGCATTACACAACCTGGACCATTTCTTTATTTAACAGCTCTTTAGCCTTTTAAGTACCCCATGGATATGAGTTTTTTCAGCATCCTAAGTGGATTTTGCTCCTTACCAAATGTCTCCAGCCTTCCCTTCAAAATTTGCAAAAACAAAAAAATAATAAGTCCAAAACAAAGTTTCCATGAGTATCATCTTAAGAATAAATAAAATCTTTTAGTGTGCCCTCACGGTTACTGGAGATGTGACACATCAGGTGCCAAAAAGACTGTCAAAAACATATACAGTGAGGGAAATGTTAACAATAGTGTATTGATTCAACATATGGTTCAATCAGAACCATTTCTATTTTAGAACTGTAAATCTGAAAACAATTGTTCATCTCCAAATAGCAGCAAGACTCATGTCACAGTTCCCTGGTTGGTTGGGACTCTCTTTCTCTAAACCTACTCAGCCACGATATTCTTGCTCATCCTGGGGTGGGATAGCCTCAGGGAAAATCAAATATGATGAAGGCTATGGAAGTTGACTGGAACTGTATCACTCTCAACAACCCAGACTTGGCTGTGCTCCAGGAAGTCCAACATAAAACAGAATTCCCAAGATTAAGCACTTAGCGCTAGCATGCCAAACCTACAAGGTCACTGTCATCACTCCGCACAAACACTAACAATTTCAGTAGCTGGTCAAGACAGGGACTAGTTTTAGTACCACGAACCCTCTCAGCCAAAAGTCTGGGCAGTTGTTTGAAACGATTTTTGTAGTTTACGAAAGAGAAAAGAAAAAAAGATAAAAACAATTTAAAAGGGCAAAGGGGTAAAAGTTACAAGAGGTTTTTTTTTTAATGCAGGAGCAAATGTGGCAACAGACTCACAGACATTCAAGGGAAGCACACCTGAAAATAATAAAAGCTAATCTAACCTAACTAATACTAACACCTCAGTGAAGAGATAGCATAGTTCAGGACATGCACAGAGCACATCTCCCTGGCACAGCCTCACAGGACGGTAAGAGGCACAAGTCTCATCCTGAGAGTCAGACCAAGCCCCCTCTAAGGTATTAGTGCAAAAGCTGGTGAGTACCATGGACTGCAAGTAGAACAAACCTATCCGTTCTGAAGGAAATCAACCCTGAGTGCTCATTTGAAGGACAGATCCTGAAGATGAGGCTCCAGTATTTCGGCTATCTCATGAGAAGAGAAGACTCCCTGGAAAAGACCCTGATGTTGGGAAAGTGCGAAGGCAAGAGTAGAAGGGGATGACAGAAGAGGAGATGGCTGGACAGTGTCACAAAAGCTACCAACATGAATTTGACCAAACTCTGGGAGGCAGTGGAAGACAGGAGGGCCTGGTGTGCTTTGGTCCATGGGGTCACGAAGAGTCGGACATGACTTAACGACTAAACAACAACAAATAGTGCCTAGATTAGTCAAACTTTAGAACTACAAAATGAGATAAAACAAACACATGACTTAACGACTAAATAACAACAAATAGTGCCTAGATTAAAGTCAAACTTTAGAACTACAAAATGGGATAAAAGAAATAATGATAATGATAACAGCAGAGCTGTTTAGCTGCTTGTATGCTGCCACACCCTACCAGAACCCTACATTAGATGATATAGATACAGCAGGTGAGCGAGGTGAACTAAACAGTTTTCCTAATTCCCTTTAATACAAACAAACGGACCATTAGACATCTGTTGCCAACAATATGAGCATGCAGGCATCAGTGCTTCTTTTGGACCCTTCTTTGAAGTGCTCAATAGCAGAAGGTAAGTTAGGAGGTGTGAATGGTCCTTTTAAGTTCAGACATCTGCCTGTTTGTTCACCTGCTCAGGCGCTCACAACAGAAGGACCAAAGTATTTAGTAACTGAATTCCATATTTCATATTCCCCAGTTCTTTAGTTTCTTAATTCATAACTGAAAGACATACATCTATTCTCTACAATGCACTAGTTATCTAATGT